GTGGTCATTTATGGCGGTCTGGCAGAGCTCATTGCGGGAGCGATATCGATGGGTCTGGGAGGATATTTGGGGGCCAAAAGCGAAGAGTGAGCCATACCTACCCGGTGCTTGACCCGTAACGCGAACAAGTCTAAATTTTTGAAAATAGGGAATCATATCACGCGACACGAAAGCAGACAAAGGACCAAATACTGAGCGACCCAAATTCCCTCTCCGAGAGCATCTCGGCCATCTTCGAGCCTTACCACCTCCCAGAATCTCTGACATCCGAGATCACGACTCATCTCGAGAAATGCGAACCAGACAACCTGGTCAACTTCGTCATGTCCTTTGAGCACGCCCTTCCCGAGCCTGCCGGTTCTCGGGCCTTGACCTGCGCTCTGACAATTGCCCTCGGCTACTTTGTCGGAGGATTCGTCCCGCTCCTACCGTATTTCTTCACCGCTCACATTTCCAAGGCTCTGCTCTGGTCCATTGGGACCATGGCCCTAGCCTTGTTTCTGTTCGGATATGTCAAGACGTGTGTGAATGTTGGGTGGCGAGGAGGGAGGCACATTTGGCAAGGCGTCTTGGGAGGAGTCCAAATGGTTTTTGTCGGTGGTGCGGCTGCCGGAGCGGCCATGGGTCTTGTTCGAGCGTTTGATTATCATGCTGCGAGTGGCTGATGGGTCGGGAATAGGGACACTAAGAGGTACATTCTAGCCCAATTTTATTTACCCTGTTTGAGTGAAGCGGAATGGTATATCACATGGAGGAAATTTGTCAAAAATGCTGCATTGTCGGAATGAAGCCGTTCAATGAGGCATGTAGCGATTATCTGCAATAAGAACAGAATCGTACCAACACCGCAGTGGCTGATACAGAAGTACCTCGTGACGCACGTGATGGTGGCGCTAGATGCGAAACTTTCGCAAGACCGAGTTGGTCTCGTGAATGTTCCAGCGCCGTAGGAACGATCAGGCGTACTTGTGCTTTTGGGACGTTGCTCTCACCGGAACCTCTCGACATCACCTATTCCGAGGCCGACGAGCTGGAAGCGATACGCCTCCTACACCACCTGAACAGTAAGATGTCGTTTGGTCATTGGATCTTTGCGGCGGGAAGAGGGGAGAATAGGTATTGATTTGCTTTTCCGACACTCTAATAAAGTAACTTACAATTGGCTCACTCCTGCAGCCGGGGATCCTCGAGCAGCTCCTTAGCGGTCTTGCTCCTCAGGCAGCCATTTCAGCATTGCTTGAAACGTTTCCAATGGATCTTATCAAAGATCTCGACATGGCCAAACAGTTGGGTATGCGCCATTTCCGAGCTTGCCAACTACTTGGTATTTTGACTGATATACGTCGCCGATGTGAACAGGGTAATACTGTTGAGGCTTGTAAAATGGCATCGTCTCCTCTTCCAGGAGTCTTTCACCGGGTAACATTGGAGCTCCGCTGCTGGAGAGACTCCTTGGGAGAGACACCCTCCGCCTGAAAACATGACTCAATAGCTGAAACAGAGATATCATGTCATTTTGTCAGAGAAAGCAGAGTGAAAGTTGAACGCGCTATAGAAGGGAGGGTCCAAGTGCCATGACTCTACTACGTGGGAGGCAGGTCTGCCGAGACTCCCCCTTTTACCCAAGCACGTGACAGGTCATCTTTAGAACGGTTGACTCCAAGTTCTCAAGGCAATGATCGACATTTATGACCTCCAGAAGTGATTTCTCTACGTGCCCACGCGCGAGAAGATCTGTATTCAGCGGTCTACTGTAATATGAAATGGATGTTTTCCACAAATCATTCGGACGAGGCACTACCGATTTCCCAGTGGTCGCCTTGCGGAGGTCTTGTTGCTCTACAGATTGTCTTCCCTCTCCGCCTGCTGTCTCGATCACGGATCCATTCTCTCCAACCTCTAGCTCCTCCCCCGCACATATTTCCCCTACTTACGGAGTAATACATTTCTCCCCCGCGTGTATCGGAATAGGAAGCAGAGAAAAGGAACCAACCACAGCCGCTCGGCAAACACATTTCCCCATCGAATCGCCGCGGTGATTTCAGAAATGGAAGTTTGTCTATATAAGGAGTCGGTCAGATGGCCCTGATGTGGTCTCTTCCCTACCTCAACCCGCGTCATTTCCGGCTGATCGTTAACCATGGCCAAGGCATTTGCAGCACATCAAGCTGCGTTTGAGAAAGAAGGTGTCTACATCGGCGGCTGGTCGTTTCGGGACACGCTGACACCGAGAAAGAAGGATGGGAAGCACGACACCAGCGAGGATCGTATCCAGAATGCCACCGTCTTGACTCCTGACTGGACGGCGGACGAAGAGCGGAGATTGGTCCGGAAACTCGATTTTCGAGTGCTCTTCCCGGCCTGTATCATCTACTTTCTTGCCTATATGGACAGAGCCAACCTCGGAAACGTCAAGATCTTGGGTCTGGGGACGGAATCCTCCATCGAAGGTCGCCTGGGGATGAAAGGCGCCGACTTCAGCTGGGCTGTGTCCATCACCTACTTCGCCGTCACCGCGGGCCTGCTCCCTTCGAATATCCTTATGAAGAAGTTCTCGGCAAAGTACTTCTTCCCCATTGTCATGATCCTCTGGGGCGTCATCGTCATGTCTATGGCCGCTTGCAAGAGCCTGGCCGGCCTCCTAGCAGCACGCTTCTTCCTTGGTATTCCAGAATCTGGTGTCGTCCCGGCCTGTGTCATGTACTTTTCAATGTGGTACAAGCCGTCTGAGAGAGCGTTTCGTATTGGGGTCTTTCACAGTGCCAACGCTCTCGCCTCTGCAGTGTCAGCCTTCATCGCCGCAGGGATCGGGCACCTGAACGGTCGTAATGGACTGGATTCCTGGCAATGGGTCTTCATCATCGAAGGGATCTTGCCCATCGCCATGGCGCCTATCATCTTCCTCCTCCTCTTGACATTCCCCGAGACGTCCACGGCGCTGTCAGAGCGAGAGCGGTACATCGCCATCAACCGATTCGGCAGAGGCGCGGCGAGAAAGACCGATGTCAGCTGGAGCTGGCCTGCGTTCCGTCGCATCTTCAAGCGACCGTCGACCTACGTCTTCTTCGTCTCGTACGTGGCGCTGTGCATGGTCGCCGTCGCCCAAGCCACCTTCCTGCCCACCATCCTTAAGGTCTTCCTCGGCTATTCGACGACAAAGTCCAACCTCTACACCGCCGCCTGCAACCTCAGCATCATCCCCTTGTACTGGGTGTGGGGTGTCCATTCCGACTGGACTCGAGAGCGCATGTGGCATTACCTTCTTCCCGTGGTTGCGTCGGTACCTTGCTATGCCGTCTGGACTTATACCTCAATGCACCCGGAAGCCCGAGGCACGGTGATCGAGACGACCGCGTTATACGGCATGGCGTATCTCGGCCAGATGGTTCTGATTTCTCAGCCGATCGTGCTCAGCTATCGCTCCTCAACGCTGTACGGTGCTGCCGAGCAAGCCGTCGGCGTGGCCGCTGCTGTTGCTTCGTTGACCATCGCCAGCATCATCGCCCCACAGGTACATATATTTCCATCCATTCTTTATCTCTTCATCGCTTATGCAAGAGCTCTCCTGCTGACCATATAAACAGATGTACCCCAACCAAGATGCCCCACGGTATCTGGCAGGCTTTGCAGGCACGCTGGCTCTGTTGGTCGTGTGCATCCTCTCCTACCTGACCTTGCCTCTGTGGCTCATGCGGGAAGCACATGTACGGAAGAAGAAGACCGGCCACGCCATGCCATTACAGGTACGAAGTCCCTCCATTTTATCTTTTGCCACCTCTCCTTTTCTCTGTTTCCCTTTGTTGCTTGCACTTCCCTCCTCTCCCCGTCATCCTCTGCCTATCCTCTCTTAATCTTGTCCGTCCATCTCGGTCCATTGCAGTCCTCGTCCCTGTGTACTAACACACCTGTTTCCCCACCTCAGGCCATCGAAGACGCCGAACGGAGCATGGTCACCGACGCTGCGCACGATCTCATCCACCGCCTCAACGAACAAGAAGAGATGGGCATGCTCGCGGCCAAGGGCGTCGAGGCCGGCGCCGCCGAGGCCCAGCATGTCGAGGAGCAGCATCAGCAACCGCCCAAGACTATCTGAGCCACGCACCGCTCGTCGACGAAGACTAAGTTGGGGTGTGACGGGACAGAACACCAGGGACGCGAGAGATGTCATGGGCATGGCATACGAAACGGAAACGGAAACGGAAACGGAAACACACTCATATATATAAACGCGCGCGCATGCAGACGCAGACGCAGACGCGTATATATGTATACAGGACGCAGGTTATGCTACAGATTCAATAATCGATAGGTAGATAGGTAGGTAGCCTATGGAACGAAGTATCTTCGATCCAGTCCAATTCGATCGATTAGATTCGTAGTCAGATGCATCATTGCACGTACTTGCATGTGTGTGGTGAAGGCAATAATGAATACCTTTCCTTCATTCCATTCCATTCCAATGATGGAGGATTCATCCCAATTTTCTCAAAAGCCCTGTTCGTCTGTCTGTCTGTCTGTCTGTCTGTCTGTCTGTCTGTCT